TATGTATATGTATATGTATATGTATATGTATATGTATATGTATGTATACCATCTTCAGGGCGGCCCAGGGGTGTCCTCTCCGCAAAATGTGGGACCTTCCCGACAAATGGGGGGCATAGCTGGCCAACAAACAGATCCAAAGCTGGAAACACTCATAGCCATGCTCAGAAGGGAGGACACGTTGGGATTCTTCCTGGGAGGAAGGCAGGGAGGGAGGGTCCGGGGAAAGGAGGACGGGTCCGCGCCTGGTCGCCCTCTCTTTTCTTGGGTTATATTGTGTCCCTTCCGACTTATGGCGGCCCTAAGGAGAACCTGCCCTGGCTGGGGTCTTCTTGGCAAACACTCATGTTGGTATTCCTCTTGGGCAGAAGGCTGGGAGGGAGGACGTGTCCGGGGAAAAAGAGGGCGTGTCCGGGGAAGAGGAGGGCGCGCCTGGTCGCCCTCTCTTTCCTTGGGAGAGTGTGTCGTTTCCGACTTATGGCGGCCCTAAGGGGAACCTGTCCTGGGTCTTTTGGGCAAGATTGGTGCACGGGGTGGGGTGGGGAGCTTGGTTGCCAGTCGCGTTCCCCCCTGAGGCTGAGAGAGTGTGACTCGCCCAAAGTCACCCAGTGGGTTTCCAAGGCTGAGCTGGGCATGGAACCCTGGTCTCCAGTCAGGAGTCCCAACATGGAAACCCCTACTTCCAGACGCCTGGTCCCCCTGTTTAGACTACATGCACAGCCCCCCCCCCCAAACCCTGAGTTGGGTCCGGGCTCTTTACACGATGCAGTTACACGGCAATTTGGGGCTTCCCGCCCCTTGTTCTTCCTCAGGCAAAAGGGTTCAAGATCATACAGGAGAGAGAGAAAACGGGGCTTACTTTCTCGTCGAGACTCCATCTGTACAGCGACCTTGCTCCGTGTCCCTGCTTAATATCAGGGGTGGGGCAGTGGGTTCGAATCCCCGCTCGGCCACAAAGACCCCCTGGGTGACCTTGGGCGAGTCACACTCTCTCAGCCTCAGGGCAAGAAACCCCCTCTGAAGCAGGCTTGCCAAGAAAACCCCAGGGTAGGCTCGCCATGAGTCGGAAACGGCTGGAAGGCACCCAACAACCAAGGGAGACCGAGATCTTTCATATATTGTATGTTAGTCCTATGGGTCATTTCAAAGGCAGACCCCTATACCCGGTTAGTCATGGCTTCCTGGGGCTGGCAAAGTGTGTGTGTGTGTGTGTGTTGTGAGGTTGTGCAGGTCGAAATGAGAGGCAGTAGCAACCCCCTTAAGGTGCTTTATCATAGTGGGGAACCGCCCAAACTAGGGCGGCCAGATGTCCTCACTGCAAAGGAGGACAAGGTGCCACCAAATGTAGGGCGCTCAAGAAAAATGTAGGGCGTGACCAATCAAAGCTAAAAACGTTCACAGAAATAGAAATTCATGCTCTTTAGCCATGCTCAAAGTGGAGGAGATTTTGGAATTCCTCCTGGACAGAAGGTTGAAATGGAGGACATGTCCTGGAAAAGGAGGAGGATGTCTGGTTATCCAAGGAAGCTTAAGGCTTGTGGAGGATTCGCCCAAGGCTAACCAGTGAGCCTTGTGGCTTGACGAAAGAACATCCTTCTTAGTCTGAGGAAGGAGAGTCATGAAAGCTTATACTGCCAGATTCTTTCTTTCAGTGAATCTCAAAGGTGCTGCAAGATCTCTTTGCGGACTGATTTCCCAGGCTAACACAGCTATGCCTCCTTGACTAGTCAGCCGGTGGTACTTCTAACACTGTAAAACAGGGGTAGGCAACCTTTTTGAGCCGGGGCCGGGTCGCTGTCCCTCAGACTGTTGGGTGGACCGAAGCACCAAAAATAAAAAAATAAATAAATTAAAATGAAAAAATTTAAAAAATATGCATGCACACTCTCTCAGCCCCAGAAAAGTCATGGCAAAACCCCTGTGGAGATTTTGCCAAGAAAACAAGTAATAACAACATTAATCAATATCATCATGGTGGGCGGCGGCGGCAGCAGGACCGGCCTGGGGCCGGTCCAAAGTCCTCGCGGGGGCCGCATCCGGCCCCCAGGCCTTAGGTTGCCTACCCCTGCTGTAAAAGATTGGATGTGAATATCAAGCATCAAATACCGTGGTGCTCAAGTATCCTCCCCAGGGTTAGAGTCATCTAAGCCAAACAAGTGTTGCTTTGTTAATGGTGTCATTGTGAAATTGCTGAATATTGGCCCTGGGAAAGGGCTTCCGTGTTAGGGACACTTGCTATTGCGTGCCTTCAAGTTGTTTCCGATTTATGGCAATTCTAAGGTGAACCTATCATGGGATTTTCTTGTCAAGATTTATTCAGAGGAGGTTTGCCCTTGCCTTCCCCTGAGGCTGAGAGTATGTCACTTGCCCAAGATCACCCACTGGGTTTCCATGGCTGAGCAGGAAATCAAACCCTGATCTCCAGAGTCGTAGTCCAACGCTCAAACCACTCCGCCACATTGGCTCATTAGGGACACAACTCATTTTAAAAGGGAATTTTTAAAAAATCAAACTTAATTTGATTATTTGTAGGTAAGAGTTTTAGATTATTGAAAGGCGTGGGTGATATGTGTGCAGCGAGACTGTTGCAACATCCAGTTGAGTTAAGACTTTTACTTTGATTACAGCTTTATCGGTTACATTTATCATACTGGTAGAATTCAAAGATATACCCATGTTAGTCTTTCGAATCAGTATGTAGAGAGATCTTTGAGACTAACTGAAAGAAAGAGGTTGGCAGCATGAGCTTTTGTACTTCCTCAGATGCGTTTGGAGATACATTTACCATACTGGTTTTTGATTATAAGGCATTGCACAAAAGTTAAAAAACAATCAAAGAATGCTCACAGGATCAGCATCTAGTTTGCACACCGTCCAAGTTTAACAGTTTATCCAATTATTTTGGGTGGGAACAAAGAAGGAATGCAGAAGCCAGTTGTACAGCCCTCATGTTTTAAGGATAGTCCTGGTTGGCTGAGACTCCTTAGCATGCATTCGCTGCCTGCATAGGCCCATGCCATCCTTTCTTAGGACGTTATCACACATGGGCCAGAAAGCGATAATAAAGTGGAAATGAGGCATTCCGAAAATAAACCAAAAATAAACCTTGATTCCGCGAATGGCTTTCACATGTAATTACCTTAATTGCGAAATTACAGTAAGCGCATTTAATGTTCACACACAAGTGAGAAAAGCCCGTAAATGTACTAGAAATGAGCTTCTTGCACATGCGCAGATAGAGGAATGCTCGCTGGAACCATGGGAAAAAGGCAGGGAAATGGTCCCAAATGCGCATTTGTTTTTCACATTACGGTAAATGCGAAATTACTGTAATTTCGCAAATGCATTTCCTCAAAACTACCGAATTTCAAAAGATTTCAGATAAAACCAGTTTCTGTCCAGTTTCTGTGCGACATCGTGTGACATCGTGAGGCACAAATCCAGTTTCTGTTTGGGATTTGTGTGGATTAACCAGCAGATTTCCCCTGTGTGATAACGTCCTTACTTGATATGTTTGCTGGTGTAATATAATATTGGTGTAGCTAGTAAACTCAAATGCTGCGCCAAATGTGGGTTAGTACCAGCCTTGCAGGATCTATTTTGCTTTTTACTAGAACCTTCAGAGCCACCAGCAAAATTGTATCTTACGGGAGCAGAACCAGATGCAGTATAACATGATGGTTCAAGAGGCAGAACCTGTTGAATCCTGTGAGCTAAATGCTGTGATGTCCTGAATATATGCTCAACACTCCATCTAAAATCCTGGTGTTTAATGATACCGGTAACCTAAATGAATAGGGATAATTCTTCTGTTGCTGCTCTAGGAGTCAGAAACTGTGACTGATCTTCTGCAAGGCATCTAGAGGTCTGTCTACCATCTTGATCTACTTTCTGCCTAATTCTGGGTTAGATTGAATTTACTTACTTATTATGAATTTTATCTTACCCAGAAACAGGCAAAAAGTAGATCAAGATGTACTGGTAGACTCTAGATGCCTTGCAGCAAAATCAGTGACAATTTCTGACTGATGCTTCTTCTCCAGTGAATGCAAGGTAATGTCAGGCTCCAGCTGGCATTTCACATTACATGAGAAAGAGGAAAGCCGTTTAAGTTTTCCTCTCCTTTTCCCATAATATTTTGCAAACTCGTGTGCTAAGGTTGCCATGTTCCTCACTCAAGCATCATAAAATTGGCTGATGTATGTGTGCAAAATGGTACAGATGCAGGTGTAAGAACATGATGACATCACAACTCAGACAGATGTTCTGGACCAAAAAACACAACATGAGGATATGAAATCTGTCGTGCATCATGTGCAAGTCCAGCTTTCAAATGAGGCTGAAGCCCATGGTGAAAGAGGTTGCTGTGATCAGTTTAGCCCCAGTGTATTAAGAAAGATTCAGATCATGTCCAGCTTATAAGGGAGATGATTTGCCACCCTGCATTGCTGTGGACTGCATCTTCTGTTACATTTGCTGATTTTAAAAAAGTTTTAAATTTTTATTTTGCATGAGAAACCTTGGTGGAGGCAGTAAATTTGGTGAACTTATTTGCAAGGCTAGCTCATATCTTACTATTTTAGAGCTGATCACATTAAAGTTAAGTGCGTTGTTTAGCCTTTATGATCCCTCGCATTCATATGTGCAGACAAAACAAAGCCAAATGTAGGTAAAGTCCTGTAGACAAAGTCATTGTTAATTATGTGTGAAGAACAGCTGATCACAGGCAACTACAATGTTTTATGTTTGGTCTCTTAACCAAACATTAATCCATTTAAAATAGGGGATCTCAAGAGATCTTTAAGTGAGAGAAAGGTGGATTTTGAAATTGGCTGAGTAAGGGCCTTTGCAGACTGCCAAAAATAGTGCAAATTGAGTGAGTCCACTTTAACTGCTCTGACTCAGTGCTAGGGAATCATGGGAACTGTAGTTTATTGTGGCACCAGCGCTCTATGACAGAGAAGGCTCAATGTCTCAGAAAAAAATACAATTCCCATGATCCCCTGTGTGAATGGGTTTGGGTTTAGGGGTTGATGCAGAAGGGTCCCATTCTGGGGAGTCCATGAGCAACTGTGTCCTCTGGCTATGTTGCATCAGATGTTGCTGTTTGATGCACACTGCAAAGAAATTTGGCATTTAATAATGTAATTATAGGAAGAAACTTTGTCTCCTAGAGTCCTAGTGAGTTGGACAGTCAAACCACTGCATCATACAGACTCTTTTTTTAAAAAAAAAATTGTATCTATATTTGATATAAAATAATAGAGGGATATGGTGAAGGGAAATTCACTGAAATATTACATGAGGGGATTCAGGTGAATATCTTCACATGTTATTACATGGAAGTTGAGCATGCTGTTCCTCTGCTATGGCTATCTTGATACAAATGGGTCACGAAAGGGCAAAATCAGCCTTTAGACAGCGAATCTGGGATATAGAACTACAGAATCATAGAAGTAAAATCAGGAACATGCCAGTTCTAGGAAGCTTGGAAAGGACCTTTGTTAGGCCAACTTATTTGTCCAAGCTAACAGTACCTAAATTTAGGGCAGCTTTCACTGCTGCACGCTGCAATGTTCTTCCCTCTGCTGTCTTGGAAGGAAAATACAAGAAGATCCCATATGAGAACCGGACATGTTTATGCTCTGATACTTTAGTTGAATCACTCCAGCATATTATATTGTATTGCCCTTTCTATCAAGGTGTGCGCTCCTCTTTGATTTGTCCGATTTTGCAGAGATTTCCGGGGCAAACAGTCGATCGCTATCTGTTATTATTGCTCGAGGATGTAGATCCACAAATAACTGAGAACATGGCCCGATTTTGTGCTGTAGTCATTGCTACACGCAAGCAAATCATGAAAGATCATAATTATTCCTAAATTAGGGAAACGAGATGTTAAAAGATCCCTTTCCTTATGTTGGTGTGTAATGTATTGTTCTCTGTTTGCATGTATATTTGTTTTAATTTTATTTTACCTAGATTTATCAGTTGTGAAAGATTTTATTGGTTAATATTTATATAATTTTGTGATATTTTGGTCAAAGACCGTAAATAAATTCTAATTCTAATTCTAATTCTATGGCTGTGTCCCCTGCCTTGCCCCCCCCCCACGCACACACTGGTGATGCACCTGCTTGTTGAGTCCCTGCTGGCTGCTCCTTTTGTCAGCTAGACAAGGTACTTAGATTGAGGTAGGCATATAGGGCTTCTCTATATTCTGATCTGCACCTTGTATGATGAAGCCCTGTGCAAGGACATCAATAAACCTAAAAGGCTGCTCCAGGTGGCTAGCAAGGGGTATGGCTGGCAGGATATTCTGCACAACTTTCCTTACAGCCTGATCTGCAATTACAAACACATTTGTTTGGAAGAAGGTGATTGTCATCAGTGGAACAAAGTAAGGACAAGTTGACCTTGCAATGTGACAAGGAATGCATACCTTACTGGCCATGCTGGTTGACAGAATTCTAAGTGTCGTAGTGTAGCAAAGTAACTATTCCGAGCTCTGTTACTCTCCATCCGTGCAATCTCTTTTTGGGACAAACCAACTGTGATATCGAGCCTGTGTTGTTATTTGTGTGGTGAGAAGTACAGTTCTTTGTCCCCAAGTGTGTTAAAACCACCTGCCAAACTAGAATGTATTCATAGACATTATAAAAAAATATTTCTCATTTATATCACACTTAGTGTGTGTTCAAAGTATTTCACAGATACTAGTCAAAATCCTATTGTTAATCTTGACAAGAGGAGACCCATTGAATTACCTATTAGATTTAAAATGTGTTGGCTCACCATTCAAGAATTGATTTAATGGGTTTAGTTGAGATTAAGCAACAGGATTCCAGCCATGTTCATTGTATTTTATATAATAAATTGTTTATGCAGACCAGTCCTATGCAGGTTTGTTTAGAAGTAGGTTCATTGGGGCTTATTCATAGTTAAGTGTGCATACTTTCGCAGTCTTAGGAATCAGTTTGGTGCATCAAATATAAATATACCCAAATGTGGTGATATAAGTGGTTGATCTGTGTGCCAGTTATAGGGGTTCCAGGCAGAAGAAAGTCATGGTTTGCTTTCCAGACAGCTAGGATCTGGAGGTACAGTGGACCCGCAATCTGCAGATTCAAGCACCCCTGGATCAGCACACCCCATATTATTCGGTGGCGGTGCTTGCATACAGTGATGCTGATATGGGCATACAGATACTGCTATTCATTGAATAATATGGGACTTGAATGTCCACCTTTTTTCCCATCCTCAGTGGGTCCCAGAACTGAACCACTGTGAATGGGAAGGGTCAATTGTATTTGTGTGAGTAGCAATGCATCTTAGGTGCTGAGATATTTATAAATCTTGCGATACCTGTATATTCAAATGGGCTACACAGTGTCAGAATTTTTTGCCCAATTTAATACAATTTATTTTTTAGAAAATCTTGTAATCCTGCCTAGAACCCTAAAC